TAAAATCTTTCTAGACATCTGACAAAAAATATCATTTAGAAAATTCTATGAAGAATTTCTGAATCAGAAAATTATTCTGATTCAGAAATTCTTCAAAGAATTTCTAAAATATTTCTATTAAGACATTATTTTCAAAGGAAAGGTATTCAATTTCAATCTTTGAAAATACAATATAATAATATAATGATTCAATGATTCATATATAATAGGTTTTTTTTCTTAATAAATTTTCATTCTTCCATTTCTATAGTTTCTAATGGTATTTCTTTCAACAAATCACAAGGAGCCAATACATCAAAAACAACTCCCTCTATTTCTACATTGTATTAGTATTTTGAACCTAAATTAGTGTATATAAAATACAATTTGGATTATATTTAATTAAATATAGCGAAGGATTTAGAGGAATCAAGCTAATCTTCATCTTTGTTTGTTATATCAAGCTCTATCTTGCATTACTTTTGAAGACATGATGTACTAAATAGAGATTTCATAAAAGTATATTAATTTAAATAAATTGTTAAAGAGCAGAATTAATATTAATCTTCTTTAGAACATTTTAGGATTCTGGATTAAATTAAAGAAAAGTAATTATTAATTAAGAAGTTCAAAGTTTTATATTTAAAGTTTAATATAATCAGTTCCTACAGAGAACATTTTTAAGCTAATCCAAACTTGAATTCAATTATGAAAACTATATTTTAAATACATTCAGCATATTGATTCTTAATTAAATTTAGATTTAATTATTTTTTTGATTGATTTCTTCTTATTAAATATCTGATTGGAAATCTTAAATTATGATAAACTCCATATCGATTTCACATGACAAAAGAGCTTTTTGATTTGAGAATTTGAAATTTGGATATCCTAGCTAGTTTTAAGAACAATCTTCATGATTTATAAATTTTACTCCCATAAATACCAAATACAGCTATCATAAAATAAGTATAGTTCTTAAAACACTGCTATAATTGCATTTAAACATTACTTCTCAATTGTTTAATTCTTTGAATTTAGTTTATCACTTACCTTACATAACAAAAAAAACTAATTTCTATATCATCTTATTATTATTATTTCTTTGATAATTTTATCTCGTTCATTTATCTTGCTAATATTAATCATTGAAATTTATTTATGGATATCCACTAATTTACAACAATTATCCAATTACTCTTGAAGAAGCAATTATTATAAAGAAAAACCACTCTTTAATTACTGAAAATGTCTATTACAAAAGATAATAGACTTTAAGGTTCTATTTAAAGTATTAGTTCATTTTGAATAAACATTATTAATCGTCTTTATGTAAAAAGAAGAACTAATAGAGAAATCTTTAATTTTAATACTCATTTGATTAACTCATATGAGGTAATAATGTAGACCTTATTAAATAATGTATTAACAATAGTAAAATATAAAGTTTTAGAACATACTCAGTAATTAATATTTATTATGAAAAATAATACTAATTAATTTATTATTATATTACCTTGGTAGATTTATAAAAATAAAGCAATTCTTATTGAAAATAAATAAAAAATAATTTATATTAATAAATCTTATTAAATTTAATTTCAAGGATCTCTAATTCTCATTAATAAAATAAGTATCTTAAGCAATTAGCCAAGACATAAAATTTTGATGAAAATATAAGAGATTATTTTTTTCAAAGTGTAATTATCTTTAAATATAAATTTCTCTAAGTTTATGAGAATTTTTCTACACAATATTTTAATATAATATTAAAAAATTTTTAGTATATTTCAATATTCATGATTCTAGTCAATATCATTAAGTGATTCATTGGTTTCTCCTCCAATATTACTATATTAATTCTCTAAGGCTGCTAATGATTCTCTTCCTTAATGAAATTCAGACTCTTCTAGACCTTCAGTAACATACCAAAAAACAAATGCTCGTTTTGCATGTAGTTTATCAAATTTGGCTCCTAATTATTAAAATCTACTAACAATTGAAGCATCATTTGAAAAGAATGTTCCAGTCTTTTTCATTTCTGCAAGTTCAGATAAGATTTAGTAATTTGATGATGTACATTAAAATATTCTTGGACTTTAATTAAAAAAATGTTCTAAATTTTAAAGAGTCAAATCAAATTTGCCAAAAAAATTGTTAACTTCTTTTTATCTAAATAATAAAGTTGTTGAAATATATTTAGAGTTTTTAGGGCATTAATAAAGTCTAGACTCTTTGTTAGTGATATATTTGATAAATTCTCTTTGACTCAATTCTTTTCTTGAGTAATCATTTATTGAAGTCATTTTGGCATAAGATGGAATAAAATAATGCATTTATGGATAAGGACACATATTAGCAAAGAACTTTGCATTATCTATACAATTAAATCTTCTTAAACCTGTATATGAACTAATAATCTAAGCAACCAAATTATTTAGATGAGAATAATCTACAAAATCTAAATCTAATTGCTAATCAATGACTTTGTACATAGATTGATTATCGAACATTGTAATACTATTTAAAAACTCTTTTGTCATTTCTATTGAAAACATTGCATTATAAATGTCAAGAACATTATTTGACATATCAGAAGATGGAAATATTATAAAACCATTCTTTTTTACCTTATTCCCATAATCAACTTATAATCTGCTTAATAATAAATCTGAGAATCCAGAACCAGTTCCCCCACTAATAGAAGTTGTTACAACAAATTAATCTAGTCGATCCATTGTTTCAACTTACTTTCTAACATAATCTAATCCAATATCAACAATCTCTCTTCCTAAAGTATATGTACCACGAGCATAAATATTTGATGCATCCTCTTTTCCATGCAGAAATGAATTCTTCTTATATTTTATTTATTTATTCCTTTAAACTTCTTATATCATTCTGTTATCTAAATCAGCATAAAGTACTTAAGGATGATAATGATCATTCACTTATTAATATATGTAATTTTTCTAATTTGTCTCATTATGTTCCTTCTCATAAAGTTTCCATAATGCATCTCCAATCATTACACCTGCTCCTCCAATATGAACATGAAATGCAGAAGACATTCAAGAATCAATTATTTAAATAGTAAAATTAAATAGTAATGAATTTTTGAAACTTAAATGCAAAATTTGTACAATCCTTGATCAATTTTATATTTTATTATAAATCTATTTTATTCATTTATTTTCTTTATTTCTATAGATTAATCATACAATTCGCTTATTTAAACTTCAGCTTTTAAATAGGGCTTAATTTGTATTCAATATTTCAATCCGCAAGTTAAACAATTATTATCTAGTGCAAAAATGTAATTTCAAACACTCTTTTTTAAACAAAATTTAATTTTTAGTAAAAATTAGTTAAAAGATAATTATTGAATAAAAAAACATAACTGTTATGATAATTGGAGATAAAAAAACAATAAATTAATTGTAAGAAATTTATAAACTATTAAGAAAGACTTCAATAAATTCAATTATCGGTTATTCTTCAAATTGAAAATCTCATATATTCTATTTTATTTGTTTTTTATTGAAGGTTTAATTATGTATTTAAGAATATATGGCATATGAATAAAAATAATTTTTCAATTTTTTGTAAGAATAAAATTATTAATTAATAAACTAAATTTCTCAATTTAAATAAATATACTCTAATCTAAAATATTATTCTTAGGATTAAATTTATGTTCTTTTAGATGATCATTGGATGCTTAAAAATATTCTTATTCAACTCATTTTTATTGAAGTTTAAGAATTAATTAGAATAAATTCTATAATTTTATTATTAGATCTTCCAAATATTTCTCTTTTTTGATAATAATTATATATCTTGATATTAGAATCAATTAATATTCAGTCATTGCAAGTTAAAAAAAAACAAAAAGAAAGTTATTATTAGATTAAATTTCCTAAAAGATTATAAATTTCATTATTTACCACTAAAATTATAACTAAAAATAATTGTATTTTACTTGTCAACGATTTTGTGTTTATATTTATCAAAATTATCAGACAGTTGAGAAAAAAAACAAAAATAATAGATTTTGTTTATAAATCAAAATAATTTAGGCCCACCATTTATTCAAAAAGCTTATATTAAAATTTTATAAAAAATGAATTATTGATAGAATTAATAAAGATGTGAAAACAACTTTGGTCTTTTTAACGGTATGAACTTGAATTCTAATTTATTCAATTTAAAAGACAATATTGTAATTTTTTCGAAACTAAAAGATAATTTTCTAAAATTTAAAATTAACGAAAGATTAGTAATTAAATTCATGAGATGGAAATTCTGAAAATTATTTTCAAGCACAACTTCAACTATTTTGATGTTAAATATATGAGATCCTTTTTAATAAGTTTTCAGATTATTTATCACTATAATGATTTAAAGAACAAAGGAAATATTTCCAAAGATTCAAATGTTTTTAATCATTTTTTACAGAATTAAACTGAATGATAAATCATTTGTATTTCAAATTATAAAGGAAGCATATAAAAGTAAATTTATAATAATAACTTAAAATTTGTTTCTCATGATTATAAATCAAATGAATTTATTTCACAGACAGACATAATTATAATAAGTAGGATCACCACAAGAAATAGTTAAAATTAGATCTCAAGAATACCCATATGACAATTCAAGGTAGATTTATAATGAAAAAAAAATAATATATTTAAAATTTATAAGAATTATTGAAAGTTTGAGTAGAGAGTATATTTTATTTATATTAAACTTAAAATCTAGAAAATTTTTTAAAATATTCTTCTTATAATTATACTAGATTTAATTGTCAAACATCTAAAAGTTATACTTTAAGAATAATTTATTCAGTTTTAACTTAATTATATAANTTAAAAGATAATTATTGAATAAAAAAACATAACTGTTATGATAATTGGAGATAAAAAAACAATAAATTAATTGTAAGAAATTTATAAACTATTAAGAAAGACTTCAATAAATTCAATTATCGGTTATTCTTCAAATTGAAAATCTCATATATTCTATTTTATTTGTTTTTTATTGAAGGTTTAATTATGTATTTAAGAATATATGGCATATGAATAAAAATAATTTTTCAATTTTTTGTAAGAATAAAATTATTAATTAATAAACTAAATTTCTCAATTTAAATAAATATACTCTAATCTAAAATATTATTCTTAGGATTAAATTTATGTTCTTTTAGATGATCATTGGATGCTTAAAAATATTCTTATTCAACTCATTTTTATTGAAGTTTAAGAATTAATTAGAATAAATTCTATAATTTTATTATTAGATCTTCCAAATATTTCTCTTTTTTGATAATAATTATATATCTTGATATTAGAATCAATTAATATTCAGTCATTGCAAGTTAAAAAAAAACAAAAAGAAAGTTATTATTAGATTAAATTTCCTAAAAGATTATAAATTTCATTATTTACCACTAAAATTATAACTAAAAATAATTGTATTTTACTTGTCAACGATTTTGTGTTTATATTTATCAAAATTATCAGACAGTTGAGAAAAAAAACAAAAATAATAGATTTTGTTTATAAATCAAAATAATTTAGGCCCACCATTTATTCAAAAAGCTTATATTAAAATTTTATAAAAAATGAATTATTGATAGAATTAATAAAGATGTGAAAACAACTTTGGTCTTTTTAACGGTATGAACTTGAATTCTAATTTATTCAATTTAAAAGACAATATTGTAATTTTTTCGAAACTAAAAGATAATTTTCTAAAATTTAAAATTAACGAAAGATTAGTAATTAAATTCATGAGATGGAAATTCTGAAAATTATTTTCAAGCACAACTTCAACTATTTTGATGTTAAATATATGAGATCCTTTTTAATAAGTTTTCAGATTATTTATCACTATAATGATTTAAAGAACAAAGGAAATATTTCCAAAGATTCAAATGTTTTTAATCATTTTTTACAGAATTAAACTGAATGATAAATCATTTGTATTTCAAATTATAAAGGAAGCATATAAAAGTAAATTTATAATAATAACTTAAAATTTGTTTCTCATGATTATAAATCAAATGAATTTATTTCACAGACAGACATAATTATAATAAGTAGGATCACCACAAGAAATAGTTAAAATTAGATCTCAAGAATACCCATATGACAATTCAAGGTAGATTTATAATGAAAAAAAAATAATATATTTAAAATTTATAAGAATTATTGAAAGTTTGAGTAGAGAGTATATTTTATTTATATTAAACTTAAAATCTAGAAAATTTTTTAAAATATTCTTCTTATAATTATACTAGATTTAATTGTCAAACATCTAAAAGTTATACTTTAAGAATAATTTATTCAGTTTTAACTTAATTATATAATATTTAAGTGATTTAACAACTTGTATCTGCAATATTTATAGCTAATATTTGATGTGAAACTGGATTAGGAGTAAATCTTAAGTAAAAACTGATTTAATTAACCTAAGAAATGCAATAACGTGGTAAATTATATTACTTTTAAGAAGTTGGGCAATCATTGCATTTATTAAATTAACCCACTACTTTTTTTGCATTTATACATTTCATTTAAACAACAATTAAAACAGGTGAGATTGTTTTATCAATAATTAGCTAGAAATCTCCATGTGTGGAATAAACCATATTAACAGATGGTATTTCCATATATACTGAGGGTATATTTGGTTAATTTAAATCAAACTTCTAGCTAATTCTTACAAAAGAGCATTATAATGCTTTGTACTGGGTTGTAAATATATATGATAACCAAACTTCTTTATATTTTACACCAACAAATTATGCAGGATTAGCAGACCCTAAGTTAAAGTATTTGATTACAAGTTGAAAAAGAGTAAGTTAATGTAGTTAAAGGTGCTGTATTATAAGTTTTCTTTTAAACAATCATCATTGTATTAAGATAATTAAATCCAATCATTGGAAGCATAAACCATTTGTTTGTAACTTTATTAATGTCTGGACTTGTGTAGGCTAGGGTTATAGTACGTAAACCTAAATCAATTATTGCATCATTTGGAGCTAAGATTAATTGATATCCTATTTATTTTAAATTAGCTGCTTTTGAAGCATCTTATGTGATGCTAACTGTAATAGCTGTTGTTGTAAATTCTGAAACCTATTCTTAAAGAGCAAAATCTTACATATAATGAAAAATCTATTGCTCCTGCTCCATAATAGAGACTTGTCAGACTTATGATAGCAAATTCTGTATTTGGGTTTTAATGATTAAATTATTTGCTTACTATTGTATTCATATTAAATGAATTAAACACTTAAACACGCTAATCATTTAAAGCGTACCAATTGAATTCTACGTGATAAGCTTATCGACTCCCTCTACATGTCACAATTATATTAAAATCTTTGAAATTTTTAAAATTTTTATTACTTGTTGTTGTAATTGTACTAATTTCAAAACCAAATTCTACATCATTATTAAGTTAATCAAAATATTCTAAAATAACAAAAACTTAAGGTGCTTTTTCAAATGTTCCAGAAAATGAAATTGTTTTCGTTGTTGTATATNTATTTAAGTGATTTAACAACTTGTATCTGCAATATTTATAGCTAATATTTGATGTGAAACTGGATTAGGAGTAAATCTTAAGTAAAAACTGATTTAATTAACCTAAGAAATGCAATAACGTGGTAAATTATATTACTTTTAAGAAGTTGGGCAATCATTGCATTTATTAAATTAACCCACTACTTTTTTTGCATTTATACATTTCATTTAAACAACAATTAAAACAGGTGAGATTGTTTTATCAATAATTAGCTAGAAATCTCCATGTGTGGAATAAACCATATTAACAGATGGTATTTCCATATATACTGAGGGTATATTTGGTTAATTTAAATCAAACTTCTAGCTAATTCTTACAAAAGAGCATTATAATGCTTTGTACTGGGTTGTAAATATATATGATAACCAAACTTCTTTATATTTTACACCAACAAATTATGCAGGATTAGCAGACCCTAAGTTAAAGTATTTGATTACAAGTTGAAAAAGAGTAAGTTAATGTAGTTAAAGGTGCTGTATTATAAGTTTTCTTTTAAACAATCATCATTGTATTAAGATAATTAAATCCAATCATTGGAAGCATAAACCATTTGTTTGTAACTTTATTAATGTCTGGACTTGTGTAGGCTAGGGTTATAGTACGTAAACCTAAATCAATTATTGCATCATTTGGAGCTAAGATTAATTGATATCCTATTTATTTTAAATTAGCTGCTTTTGAAGCATCTTATGTGATGCTAACTGTAATAGCTGTTGTTGTAAATTCTGAAACCTATTCTTAAAGAGCAAAATCTTACATATAATGAAAAATCTATTGCTCCTGCTCCATAATAGAGACTTGTCAGACTTATGATAGCAAATTCTGTATTTGGGTTTTAATGATTAAATTATTTGCTTACTATTGTATTCATATTAAATGAATTAAACACTTAAACACGCTAATCATTTAAAGCGTACCAATTGAATTCTACGTGATAAGCTTATCGACTCCCTCTACATGTCACAATTATATTAAAATCTTTGAAATTTTTAAAATTTTTATTACTTGTTGTTGTAATTGTACTAATTTCAAAACCAAATTCTACATCATTATTAAGTTAATCAAAATATTCTAAAATAACAAAAACTTAAGGTGCTTTTTCAAATGTTCCAGAAAATGAAATTGTTTTCGTTGTTGTATATCCATTCTTGCAAACAAAGCTTGACCATGTGTAGTAATTAAGAGTTGTATATGTTCCAGAATCATAAGTAATGTAAGAATACACATATACAAATGATAAATTTAGGATCAAAAAAATCATTAAATGGAAAAAATTATAATTAAAAATATAAATACAACTTTATATTTTAAAAACGAGATCAAAATCAAAAAAAATAGAAAAATTTTCAACTAAAGCACTATTAAATCAATAATTAAAGGAAAGTAAAATTTTAAATCATAAAAGACTACAATTATTTTTCAAATTTTTTGGATTAGGCTATGACGATTAGATTTTGGAAATTAGGTATTATTGCAAGTGTGGGGCTGCTTACATATTTTATAATTGAATTTTTAGGAAATAATAAAAAAAAAGAAATATAATTATTTTTCATAGATTATACAATTGGATATTAATGAAGAGAGGAATTAATTATGCATCGACCTACAAAATAGAAAATAATTACTAAACTAAATTTTTAGAAAAACAAAGTTTATTTGATTAAATTTATAAAATAATGCTATTTTTTTTTAACAATGTATAAATAAAATTAGTTTTATTTTTCAAGTATCCATCAATTCAAAACTATTTGATTTGAAATTTTATCCTTTTCTTGTTTTGAAACAATACCATATTACCAATAATATTATAAATACTAATATAGATAATATTACAATAAGCAAAGTGAACTTACCTTAATTTTAATATTTGTCAGTCTAATACTTTTCGTTGATAATAAATAGTTTTTGCATAGATTAACTTTATGGATTGTTAATTTAAATTTCAATAGTTGATTGTTAAATTCCAGTTAAATCAATGTTGAGTGTCAGATAATTCTAAACATAGAAAATTTAAGAAAGTGTGGAATTAACTAGAACATAATAGTTACCATTTAAAAGAGAAAAATAAGCACCTTTAGGATTAATTTAAATCATCTCAAACCCTGCGATTCCAATAACATTTTTTTTTAAAGTGTTATTCAATTAAAATTGTAAATTTTCATATGAATAAATTTAGGGACTATAGTATCCATCTATTTAGAAATTTGTTATCATAAACATTCCAGGCGTTCCAATTAAAACAGCATATGAAGATAAGCTATAATTACAAGCTAAGTAGAAAATTTGTGTTTCTAAAAATGCAATGAGTTCTCCATTGGTTAAATTAAATAATACTGGATATAAATTCACATTATCAGGATAAGGAACAATTAATTTGATTTCAATAAGATCTTCAGACAGTTATTTTGGAGAACCTAACTGCATGGTACCAGTTCCTTGAAATTGCCAAGTAATTGGTTATGTTTGTTTTAAATTCCATGATGAAACTTAAAAATAAATATTTCCAGATACAGTAGTTTAATTAGGTTAGAAACCGAAATTTATGCTTATATTTTAAGGTATACAGGTCTATAATAGAAACATTTAATTATTTTTAGCGCCTGATATATATGTTGCTATAAATCCAAATGTTTAACATGGTTAGGCAGTAAAATTTAGTGACATGCTTAAATAGACATAATTAATGAAAGAATATTGGCAAACCCCATTAGAGTTAAATATTTATTAAACGTTTATTGTATTATTTTGTATCCAAAAATAAAATACAAAATAATTTAATGTAAAGGTAAGCTTGTAAGAGATTTTTGTAAAAACTTGAAGAATACCATTATTGTATTGTGAAGTGAAATACTGACTAACTTCTGAAAAATTATGCATAATAACCTGCTGAGAAGTGATATTATATGCATAAATTGTTGTTTAGGAAGGTGAACATATAGAAACAGGAAATTAGGATACCATATCAATAAAAAGTACTTCACAATATGTGTTGTTTTATACTGAAAAATCATATAGTTTTATGTATTGATTTAATTTTGCTTTAGGTTGTAATTAATATAAACTAATATTATCTTAAAGATATACTAAACCTTAATAATCTAAAACAGCTTAAAAGGAGGCATTTATCGTAGAAGTATTTTCCATGGATATAGGTTAAATATATTCAAATTAATTGCATGTATCACAACTTACTGTGTAATTTTATATATTTCCAATAAACAATTCTTTTGGATCAATTATAATTTAAGACTTATCTTAAATTTTATATACTTAAGCTTCATTAAAGTCTTTTGCTAATAAAATATTCATATCATATTCAATAATTGCATCTTAGTTTTGAAAATAAGTACAATTTTAATTGGATGCTGAATAATTTAGATCGACTGAAACCATTAATTGATTGTAGGTATAATGTGTAGTGAATTCAAAGTCAAAATTAAGAAAAGTATGATTTATAGATACTTAGGAGCTTGTAAAAAATTATACAATATTTATCTCTTATTGAAGTTAATACCAAGAAATAGAACTCATCTGTAAAAACTAAATAGAATTAGTCAAATGAAAGAAAAATTAAAAATAGGATAATGTTGTAAATTAGGAACCACTTGCTTAATATCTAGCTAAATAAGCATTCTGTTAAAGCTAAAATAAAAGATAGAAATTATTTGAAGTAAAAGTACTTAAAATTTTTGGATTTTTATAGAATTAAAATCCTTAGAGGCTAATCTAATAATAGTTTTATATTGTATTCTGTATAAAGATATTTAGACTAGGATAAAAATATAGAAAACTATTAGACTAATTGCTAAAAGCCATAAATATTCCATCACGTAATATGCCAAAAGAAATATTTTAATAAGAAAAGAGAGGATATTCAATTGAATTCACAAGTTCATATGATTTCTATCCATTATAGGATAGAATTATTAACTCATAAACATTATCTATAAATAAGAAATTTGGATAGTCAATTTAATTTATGTAAATGCAATTAAATTAATAGCTGGATATTGTAAATACAGGTTGTTAATTATTTAAAGAATTAGCAATTAAATTACCGTCATTTGTTATAACAAACAATGTTTTCTATAAGATTACAGAGCTTAATATTGGAACTGTGTAATTAAATTAAATCATATCTCCATCAGGATTTAATTAATGGTTGAATTTTTAAATAGAAATAGTTTAATTAAATTAAAGTAACACTTGAATTTCTGAAATAGATTAAAAACATTAGCAATGAGTTATATTTTAAGTAGAATTAACGAAAAAGGATTATCCATTAAAATAGGGATTCCAAAGTGAAATTTGAATTGTCTAATTTTAATATTAAGTACAATAAATTTCAATAGATTGAATCCAAGCACAAATGACTAAATAAATGGCTTTTTGGATCGTCCACAATCCATAAGATATTACAGGTACTCCAACGTATAGATATTAACTATTGTTTGAAGTCATTGAAACTGTCAAATTAGGTCCTAAGAATATTTTATTTTTAGGTATTATTAATTATTCAGGATATTTTAGAAATAGGTTATCCATTTGTTATTCATATAAGAGAGGACATTAGTGCAATGTTATATTTACTTGATAGATTTACAATTTAAAAACATATTAAGCTGATTATGTAATCGATTAAGAATTAACTAAAATATCAAGTAATATTGGTTCATTATAATTTTATATCAATTAGGACTCATTTTCAGAAATTAATATTTAAGGTTGACTGAGCAAATAAGTTGATAAAATAGACTAACCCTTAACATATTCTTAAACAATAACAATCTCTCTTAATAATTAAATAAGTCCAAATGTCCCTTCTTTGAGTTAATAATAATTTGTAGCCATAATTGAACTTTTACATTATAGTTTTAATATAAATTAATTAGTAATAATATAGATATTGGCTATTGTTACTTCAATTTTTTTTATTTGTTGATATTCATTTAAAATAAATGTACGCATATTGATAAACTATTATATAAAGTGTATTTCAAGTTAAAAAGATGTAAGCATTAAGTTTTGTAAGATTACAATATGAAATGTATTGTTAGTAATTTGTAATATGGCCATTTATGTAAAAGGTTATTAATTTTATGAATTTAAACTACTATGATCAATTACTTTTTGAATCACTTTCTCTGTAGTTTCTAAGTTAACTAAATATACAAATTAACTATTCATTAAAAAGAAGTAGTTGAAATTTTGTGATAAGATGGCCTAAGTATAATTACCATTAAAAATAAGTTAGTTTTAAAAGTATATATTGTTATTATTATAAATAAAGAAGGCAATCACTGCATTTTATGTTGTAGTATAAACAACTTAGATTGTAAAACTTGAAGTATTTTAAATCCTAATATAACTACTTGGATTAGTATATAAATTTATAAAGGTATAATTTGTAAGGTAATTAGTATTTTCCTTGCTTGTCGAATTTATCAAATTAAATTATAAAACTCCATTATTAATGCAGCTCAGCATCCCAAAATTATTAGAAATTAAATTTAGGTAGAAGCAATCTAATTAATTATATTTTATTACTTTTAAATTTCATATTTAATTAAGTTAATTAAAATTCTCCATTATTCTCGATTGTTCCCTACAGTAGAGTTTATTTTTAAGTATAAATCCAAAAATTATTTGAAAAGAGTTCTGATTAAATTATATAATTAGATCCCAATTATATTAATTCATCTATATTAGTAATTGAATATACTTGGAATTAGTGTTTAATAATAGATTTAGGATATTGATTGAAGGAGAGTTATATTCAATTCATTTTTTCTTATTTAATAAAATGGAGCCTAAAAGATTTCTGGCGTGTACTCTTACAAATAAATAGTATTAGATTAGCCCACTTCCATAGGAAAATTATATATCTTTGTTTGCAGAGTTGATTCAATTGCTTAGCTTTTAAATAAGACATTCAAAAAAAACAAAATATTCATTTTAATTAAATCTTTGATAAAAAAATTGTAAAGAATGTCATAAATAAATTTTTTTTAGCTAAAACCTGTTTTTAGCCAACCTCTAATCTTAATTCTATCATATGATAACTTACTTACTTGTTTTGAATTATAACCAATTTCTAAAGCACCTTTATTACAAATATAATATTATTATAATTAACACTCATAATAGTACTCTCTTACTTTATTCTTCAATTAAATCTTAGTTTGCTTTATAATTACTTTTAATTCCAAATGAAACCTGAATAGAACATTTTTCATTCACTCAAAATTCATCATTATTTGCACCAAAATAACCTTGAATATCAAGTATTCAAAATTTAACATTAGCGGATATAATAAATATTGAATTAAATGATTATTTTAATTCTTCATACTATATATATTATTTACCTCCAAATGACATATGAAGAAAAGAGCCTGTTTTTTTATAAAAAAATAATGCATAACTCAATGGAAGACAATTATTATTTTAGATTGTCTCTAGCTTATGCAGATCAACAATATTCGACAGACCTTAGTTAGTAATTCTCAATTCATTCAAAGATAGTATCCTCACATCATACAAATAGATTACTAAGAAGGTTTGTTTGTAAAAAAGATAGAATTTCTATTTTGTCTAATTATCTTATAAACTTGAACAGAATTTTGATATTCTTAAGAGAATGAATTTTACTACTTGAATTTCTCTAATCTTCAATCTATAGTGCTCATTTTAACAACAATTCAATTCTTTCTCACTAATCATTTATTTAAATTTATTAATCTATATATTTTAAGCGTTGGAGAGTAATATTTGACTTAAAAATTTGTAATCATTAATGAAAAGTTAATAATCAAATTATAATAATTTTCAAAAATAATTATATTTTTCAACTTCTTTAAAATTTCAAATTGAAATTTATAATCTTAGAATTATTATTTTCACAGCCTTGACTAATAATCATAAATAAAACATATCTATTTTTTACATAGATTTAAAAAAGGATTAACTAATTTATAAATAAAATGAAGCTTATTTATGAAAATAGCAAATAAATATATAATTTTAGAAAACATTTTGTAATATCCATTTTATTAATGATTGAATTTTCTTGATTATTTAATTTGAATTTAGATTTTCTTTTTAATCTTAAAATTCAGATGAAATTATTTTAATTTAGAATAAAAGGGATTTTCAACAGAGATCATTTGATATTTCTAAAACCACTTCTTATTCATATAGTTTGCAATTTATATTGTCAACTTACATAATATATTGAAGTCAACTTGATAATAGTTTAATATAAACTATTTTCTATATTATTTTAAGTTAAACCAATAAGAAATACCTAAAATAGTAACATTAAACTCAAAAAATAACTATATGGATTAGCAGTTTATAATAACATTACCAATATTATAATAACGATCAATTAATAAGCAAGGTAATATTTAGGCATCTAAATATTTACTTTAAACAAAGTTATATATAAATGAAATAAGAGTAATTTATTATGTATTTTGAATCACTTAAACTAATAATTTAATGATTAAGATGAAATAATAAATCAATAGTAGCCGTTAATTGATTAGATTGGATTTTATATCATCTAAAAATATTAGATCTTTAGCTCTCAACAAAAGAATAAACATGCTCACAGAGTCCTTTTATTTGTACTTTATCAATTGAGCTTAAGACCCTATGTAAATTTTTATATATATTATTTATATTTAAGTTACCTATTTTAGATAACTTTTTTTTGACTATATTCCAGTATAGCTCAATAGGATTAAGTTCAGGAGCATATGAAAGTAATAATAAGTTTAAGCTGTTCTTTTAATACTCTCTTTAAAAATGTTCCTTATTTAAATCAGTCTTTTGATCCTAAATATGATTGCATCAAAATAAAACACTTCAACAATAAATACACCAAGATTTAAGTTTTGCAAGTGATCCACCATGTATATCTAGTACATGTAATGTTAGTTAGAATTCTACTAGTAGCTGATAGGATTAAGCATAGGTTACTGTTGCTGGCTGAATCGATAAAAATAGGTAAGTAGGAAATAGATAATAGGTAAGTAAAGGAGCAATAAACCTACCAGTTTCAAATTGAAAGTGTTTATACCTAATTTCATGTTGAGATTACCTTTCCAGTATTTAGCATAAATTATAGATTTTGAATTTCAAAAAAAATGTTTTATAGAAGAGTTCGGCTGATGCTTACAAAACATATGGGTAGAATACATCAGATTATCTACATTTATTCACTATTGAACAATTTAATCCGTATCATATTCAAGTAAAAACTTAACGAAAATATATTAGTATTTCTCATTTAAATTTTTTAGTTTTTTTATTTAGATAACTTTAGTTATAACTTATCCTTCTTGTTTTTTAATGATTTCTTTATTTTTCGACCGATATTTCATTATCTCTACTTGTATCATTTAATAAAGCATTTTCCTATTCTAGTTTTGCAACTATCTGTGTTTATTAATCAATATCTTATTATCTAAGATTAAAATAGAATTTCCATAATAAGTTGCTATATATTATCCTCTTCAAATTTTAATTATTTGGATTGTTATTCCAATAAGTAATCTTAGTTTTTTAATTTTGCATCTTTTAATTTCTTTTGTTTGTTCATTAATAGATAAATTTTTTCTTATAGCTCTTTATCAAATTAAGCATATTGATTCTAAAGTTTAATTTTTTTTGTTTTTCCTTCTTTTAATTTGTAAAGAATAACTCTTTGAATATTTTGAGATAATCATTTATTTTTTCTGTATATTAAATTTTTATATGATTAAAAAAAATATTTCAAAAGTATGTCATGACTCATTAGCAGTAGGTTTTTCAGTAAAATCTTTAATCAATTACTTAATATTGATTTATTTAAAAATTTTAAATAAAAATAAAAAGAATTTTTTTAAAGTTTATTTAGAAATCAATTTTCTTGAGTCGTTTAATTCTTATTACTTTACTTTCAATTCATTTTAAACTTATCCTAATTGTATTTCAAATTAATTTATTTTATCAGAATAAACTTTGTACAACTTTCTTTAATTCTTGCATTTTACAAATTTTGATCACTCTTATTATTAAAATATTGAATTTTTGTATTTCTTGTTATCATCTTAAAAACCTTATTTATCTAAACTATATTTTTTTTCTATGTTTTAATTTTTTATTTAAAATTACAACATTAACAAGGGAATAGTAAATATTGATGAACCCTCCTCAACTAGAATAAAGAAGCCACATTTAAAATGCTAGTTATTCCTTTTTTAGAATTAAGATTGAATTAAATATATATAAAGAAGGTAAATAGTATATTTTTATAAAAGGACTGCACTATTTCCCTTCATTAATTGATTTATAGGTATTAAATCTCTAAATCATAAAATTACTTAATTTGATACTTTAATACCTAAATTAATATACTTGAAATTATTTTTAACCAAAAATATAACTGATATTGTTCTTCACATGTTAAATTCAAAAACTTCTTAATCCTTAAGGTTTGTTTAAATTTTGAGATTGTAAGGCAATTTTTATTCCAAAAACAGCTTATCAATTACATTAAGGTCATCCTTTTAATTCGTAGAAATTAAATGCAATCCACTGCTTTTATCTCGAATATAAACAAAAATTGTAATAAAAATAAAA